CATATAGACGTTTACTCTAATTAGCCAATAAAAATTCAAGGATCGACAACCAATCAGATGGATTTTTAATCATGCTACCGCAAGCCAATTAAATTTTAAGATCAGGTGTAACATGAAATCAAAACAAAAACTATTTTTTAAAAAAAATTATTATTAATAACTCAAAATTTTGATTATGAAACCATCTTTTATGTTCTAACAAAAAAAATTCCTTGCTAAATTTTGATATAAACTTTATCTTGCTTCAACTATAATATCACCCTATCTCTAACCTTTAACTGCAAGAGCTTATTTATAAAAAAATATTGGTTTGATATTCACGTTACACCTGATCTTAGTACGGTTACAAAAAATTTATTGTAACCTACGGTTACAAATTGATTAATCCTAAAAAAAAAGATTAGGCTAGAAAATCTGCTAAAAAAACAAATATAATTTTATAGTAAATTATCGTGATTTTTAATTTACTTATAATTGAGTTTAAACTCAATGATAAGAATATGTTTATTGCTACAAATTTATAATATTGTATAGTGAATACCGGTATAGCACAATTCTCTTCTTAAGGTTAAATTGTTTATTGAAATAAGCATTTTACGTACGTACGTATATATTCACGTTGTAAAAGGCAAGATTGGCATTTGAGAGTAAAAATCTACTCTATTACCATATACTTATCTTTTATGTTAATAAATAATATTCAAATTTCTGCATATTTACAAATAAAATACTAATAAATTCTACTATAATATACTTTTTTGCTTACCAACAAAATACTTAATATTATATTATGCAATTTCCTTTATATTGATAAATTTTAGTTTAATATAAAATACATCATGATTGACCTGAGTTACTTTTCAATCGGTGGAGATTAAAAAATAACTGTCGTCAATTCATAATCAACAAGTTACAAAAATGACGCGTAACAAAATCAATAAAAATTTTTTGGAATACCACACAGACTTTTAATATACAATATAATACACTCGTATCTAACTCCTTTAACAAGCACCTTGTTTTTAAAAATATTAAATCCAACCTGTCATTCAATTATGTGCCAACATCAATAATTAATAAAAAAAAATAATAACATAATAGCTACAATATATTATAGAAAAGAAATATAATTATTTAAAGGATTACAATGTACCATTATGATTTAAAGAAATCTTACAATACTATCTATTATGATTTACGTATAATAATAAATGTTTGTGTCATTTCTGTTCATCATGTCATTTCTGTTCATCATGTCATTTCTGTTCATCATGTCATTTCTGTTTATCATGTCATTTCTGTTTATCATAGTATTTCTATTCATGTTATTTGTGTTCATGCTATTTCTGTTCATGCTATTTCTGTTCATCATGTTATTATTTTCTTGTTTAGCAACATCTTCTTGCAAGTAATCAACATCAAATATACGTTCTTTTAAAAACATTTCTAAAGCATTAAGCCTATTATGCAATTGTAAAATATCTATCTGGGTTCCAGAATTGCTTGTAAAAGGAATTACAGGAAAAGTGGACCTTAATTTTTTACAGGCATTACGACGAAAACATGGACATTTTACTACACAGCCAAATGGATTAAGTTTATCAATACCTAATTAGACAAATTTTAAATTAACGTTAATTCTCAAAATGTATTAGAAACTTTTAAAAGAACAAAAAATTAGCTTTATTACCGAACAAAAAAACATAGATCCCTGCTGCAATAGTCCATAAACTTCCAAGCAAACCAAAAGTACTTAATAACTATTAGATTTAAAAAAAAAGCAGTATCTTTTAGTTATGCGGAAATAATATAAATCATAAATTTTATATTAACTTACAGTTCTTAATCTAAAAATATATTAAAGTGGAAAAATTTTTATTGAATTAATTACTGTATAATTATTATAATTAATAAATATGTTCACCTTTGTTCAGACTGCATATTAACCACATAATTTAGTGGAGATATTGCCATTAGTGATATAAAACTAGAGCTGGTGACAGAACCAAAGGTAGATATAGGCATCGATTCTGAAAAAAAAAGGATATAAAAGTTTCATTAAAAAGAAAGTAAATTTTGGCTTTTATTGATCATGCTTACGTATAATGGGATCAATATACGACGTTTTATTCATTGATGGAGCAAATCCTAATAGGTCTTGGAATTTCGGAGATATTTTATTTCGAATACGTCGCGTAAACCAAAAAAGTTGCGTCTTTAGAAAATAAATAAACAAGTTACTATTTGAAAATGGTTATAAAGTTACAAGAATATACAGTAATTGCTCAATTACTAAATATATACTTGATTAGTTGGCACAAAAAAACTGGTATATAAATCACTATTATTATTGTTAGTAATCAATGGTGTATATGCTGTTTGATCTATTTGACCATTTGTAATCGGTAATGGGTTAGACTCTAATGAATAATGAAAAATTTATTATTATTAATAATTTTATAAAATCACTTTTTTAAAAAAATATTACATACCAAGATCAGTAATATATATAAGTCCATAATTAGTATTCTTAGACGTAGAAGTCATAGATATTATTGTAGAAGTAATGCCATCTGGCGCATAAGTTTCATTTGTCAAAAAAAAACTCATATACATCTTTGTTACGGAATTATATTGTAAGGTTGACAAATATTGGTTGCATGTGCGATTTCCTTGATCAACTAATTATTAGATATATTTATGTCTTAATAGTCGAATATGATTATTGGATTATAATAAAATAACAAAATGACCACTTACAAGTTACAAAATTGCATATTAAATTAAAAGGAGTATAATAAGTGAATAGCAGAACTGAAATATATAAAAAAAAAAGTATATATATATATATTTATTTAGCATCACACAATTTACATATGGCCTAAATTCATTAAAGAATTTACCAGGCATAGGAAGTTTCTTTACGCTTTCATAACTTTGTATTATGGTTGGTTTTTCTGCTGTTATTTCAGTAATCAAAATCAGGAAATAGCTCAATAAAAAAATAATCAATAAAAGGATTGACAATCCTCTTAGCAAAAGGAGACTTTTTGGTTCTATTCGCCGGTAGCGGCCATATAAATCTTGAAAAATCATCTTTGAGTTGTCCGCTCTCAATAAATGAAGTTTATTTTTTCTTTTTAATTATTAGGGGCTTATTTATTGCTTATTATATTGCATAAGCACGCTTCGATTTTGGTTATTTGGCGCTTTCGTAATTTGTGACAGGTTACATCACTAATGTAAAATTACCTGTCCGATCTAAGTCGTGATAAATAAATATATAGTATATAATTTGAAAAACTTAGTTTAAATTTAAAACAAATTGTTAAAATACGTAGTAGCATTGATTTAAATCGTGTAAATATTCTGATCATTACGAGTTAAGGGGAAGTTTTTTATTTATTTTCCTTTCTTTACCATCTTATGTATTGAAGGAGTACTGCATTTATAAAGGGATCTCTTGCAATATAGGTGATACCTATTCTAAATCAATTGTTTAATTATAATTTTTATTAATAGTATCACTTTAATTTTATATTGTTATTTGTCTTTAATTAACTCAATGTCGAGAATGTAACTTAAATTTTTATAATTTTTAATTCATATCGATATAGTACCATAAAATTTTCTAAATTAGGTATTACAATATTAATGTGAAATTAATGCATTGTAGATAAAATTTGCACGAATATATTCCCTATAAAAAAAGGTTGTTTAGTCGTTGTAGGCATTGTCTGAAAAAAAATGCTCGGAACGGGATCCGATCAACTCACAAACAATCACTTCGTAGACACCACATTTCACTGACAATCACTTACCGATAAGTTCATTTCACCGACAGTTTATTTCACCTAAGCTCTGGCCAATATCATTAGGGTCAGGTTAGACTTAAAGTTAGTGTAATTTATAAGAAAAACTTGTCGGTGAAATAAGCTTCGGTGAAATAGACTGTCGGTAAAATGAACTTGTCGATGAATAATTGTGGTATCTATGAAGTGATTGTCGGTGAAATAATACGGATCCGACGTTAACGACAGTAACATTTCATTTGATGTTTTTTTTCGGGTTATTTCTGGTTACAGTCAGACCTGCTAAATGCAACAACAGGAGGAACCGTTGATGTTACACAACTGTTTTTACACACGGTGTGAAACACATAAAAAATTGGTTTACAATACTTTGATCGGACTTGATCAGTCAGCTAGTACATGTTATGATTATAATCCAACACCATTTTTTATTATA